TTTTTTTTTTTTTTTTAAAGCAGACTGATGTGGTACGTTGTAAACTGCCAGGAGCACTTGCTAATTTAGTAGTTAATGACAGTCACAGAGAGTGTTTTTCTTGCCCCTGGAGAGGTTTTAGACACAGCTGGGGTAGATTTGCCACTATCAATTATGCACAATTTTAAACAAGAATTGGCCAGCAGGGGCTTCTTTTTTTTGCAGAGTGCAGAGTGTGAAGAATGGGAATATGGCAGCTGGTACCTGCCTAGGCAGGAGAAGATATATAGGAGTCAAGAAAGTAAGGGAAAGATTAATAGCTTACTATTTTTAAAGTTGCAGTTTCAACTCAAAAGTTTAAATGCTACATTAAAAGTGGCCCACTGTTGTTTGGTGTTGTATTTTTTTTTTAATTCAAGCATCCTAACTTTATTGCAAGGCTTGATCTGGCCCTGGTAGAGCCACAAGCAAGTCAGTCATCTCTGTTTTTAAAAGCCAGCTAGGGAGTCAGGATTCAGTCTCAGATAACATGTTGCATTGCCTTTTCATCCTTAAATGAAAACAAGGAATGGATTCCATTAGATTTAATGGTATAGGTTAAATTTCTCAGACCACAATTTTACAAAAAAGGGGTTGGTGTTGAGTTGCCCCCCACCAATGTCAACCCTGAGCAACTCTAGGTAATGGGAAATGCCAAAGATGAGAATCTGACCTAAGTAAATGGCTCATGTCTAGGACAGTCAATCCATCTAGGTCAGCCCCATAAAACAGCAATGTTTCAATTACAGGACCAAAACCAGTGGAAGGCCGTGGCTTACAGGCAGAGCTTTAGTTCTCTTGAGATATGAAGGCAGCTGGCAAGGCAGTGGGGCCATCCTGGAAGGTGACTGTCCGTACGTCAGAGGAGTGTGCTTTAATCCCTAGTTTGGTGATATCAGAATTCAGGCACACGGCATTTGCTTTTTTTCTAACAAACACTCACAATTTTTCCATAATAGGTGTTTTGAGTCAGTGATATTATATCCACAAAACAGGAAAACTACCACCAAAAAAATTCTCCTGAGGACAACTCTGAGCACTGTCAATCGTTAATAACTTGGATTAACTGGGTTGGTTGCCATCTGGAACAAATGCAGTTCAGGATTAGATGATTGCTCTTGTGTAGGTCAAAAAAACCCTTTCTTCACTTAATTGTGTGGTTGTGACACATTTTTCCAAAAATGCTGTCTCACCATCAGGTGTGAAATAAAACTTCTAACACCCATACTTTTACATTCTCCTCTTTCCATTTGGAAAGGGAAGCCACCAGGATTCCCTGGTGACCTCTAGGATCTTAAGAGGGTGCTGTCTGCATAGTCAGAAGCAGAAGTGGTTGCAATACCCTTTTGGAATGCCAGATGGCTGGTAGGAAAACAATGTTGTATTACAGCTGTTAGAGGCCTTATATATTTCAGTGTCATCCAAAGGCAACTAGTTCTCATTTGACTAGGTACACAGTGAAGGTGTCATCAACATTATTAATTTGTTGGAATTTAATCTCTCTAACGTATCTGAAAGCTGTAATAGATTAGATAAATGGTGTCAACTACAGTGAGGAAGAGGCAGGATTCTGACACAAGATTTTTTTTTTCCTTTTAACATTTGTGTTCACAGTTTTATTATCTGTGAAAACTAGCTGACAAGACTGGACCTTCTCTCACATCCCTCTCCTGGGAGAAAGAACAAAGGAGAGAGGACAGAGCTTTGCTTACGAATCACTTGGCTTCAGACCTCCACCTAGCAGCAATGTTGTCACTCAGTGGAAGTTAGGGGGGACATTTGTCCTCAGAGACCTGGGCTGAGAGGCTCTACCAAGTTACAACCCACAGAGCCCCAGTTTGGAACTGGATGCCAATGATCTCTGGTTGGTAGGTGGATGCTGAGCCCGTGATGCAGGAAGGAGGCTCTTGGTGCATCTCTGCCCGCCCTCCCTGGCGTGCACCTCGCGTCGCTGCTGATTGACGTTATTCACCTGTTGCGGAGCTGAACGACTTGCCAACTCTGAAAGAAAAGCTGTGCTAGATGCTAATCTAGCAGTATAATGTCGTATACTTTGATATGAGGCTGTGTTTCCGTGCCTCCCTGTCTACCAATTCTGATGACATCTGTTTCATATTTCCCCTTGATAGAAGTTGTGACACATTACAACATACAAAGCCCGGCTGATTTCTAAAGCGAGCTTTACAGAGGATGCATTTATGTGAAAAAAATTACACTTGGTATGTGAAAGGGACCAAGCTCTCTGTTTGGAGATGAATCCAGTACATGTAGGGAGTTGTTCCAGTTACTGCTTCAAATGCTGGATCAAGGTTGTGGGTGCAACCCTCTCCTATGAGAATTTCCGAGAGAAATCCAACAAACGTTATCTGGACAGTTGGAGGGTCAAGTTTGTTATGTGATCAGAGTCACAGTAGCCTGAGAGAAGGACACAGGCGACATGGTGCTCAGAGATACTTTGAGGAGCTGAAGGAGATGTATCATCTACCCAAGGCTAGCAGTTGACAGAGAGTGCATCCATGTAAATAGGCTTTACTCATGTGAGTAAGCCTCCTGGGGCTGCATAATAGACTGTGTGTGGTATGTGTCTCCTTCAAAATGATAATGAAGCTTTCTAATTGGAAGTATTTTAAGTCTAGACAGTAGTTCTGTCAGTGGTTTTCCCCTTCATCTTTTTTTTCCTGATTTTAAACTGACAGTCCTGGGGAGTGATGTTTTCTCTTATCAATAGGAGATGTACGGCATGGCAGGGTAAGGCATCCCACCTTCCACTGGAAGGACCATTGGATTAGGAGTTTGTGCTGTTGCATAGTATATTCTGTGTGTGCTGTTCTACAATGCATGTGGGGGAAAAAAAATCCATATTAGCAGGGATGTCTATACTCTCCCACGTCTTCCCCTTACACTTCTTTAATGGTGACACCAGACTGGATAATAAGAAGCATCTTGTATAAAAAAGAAGGGAATCTCAGACAAGGCTTTCAGAGTTCATTTTGTTGGCAGCTTTTTAAGTGGAGTTTTTTAGGCTCTTCTGTTTTAAATACCATAATACTTTTTGAGTTAGTAACTATGAATTACGACAAGCTTTCTTGATATGCCAGGTTATAATCCTTTAGTGGTTTTGTTTATTTCAGAATATAATAGGAAGCCGTATCAATTATCGTGACTGTAAAAATGTTGTTCCTCTCTACTAGAATATTCATCTTGAGACATATCATCAGATGTTACCTGTTCTGACAATCACGTTTTTGTGCCATTGTTGGGCAACAGAAACAAAGAAAAACAAAATGTTAAGAGTGTAAGGGATAAAAGAATGTCGAAACTGTTGTTCTTTTCCTGTCTTTGGAATCTCCGAGATCTTGAATGTTTTATTCCTGGCTGTTATTTTGTTACCACAGTGTGAATAGAAGTCATTATCTGTAAACATTTGAAAAGAGAGATGATTTTCATAACTTTAAATCCTACAAAGGATTCTAGTAATCTGCTATGTGCATGCCAAGGTAAAGCTCAGCCTTTCATCTGATCTGATCCCACCCAGTCAGTGTAAAATGTTCCTTTGGTGAATGTCTAAAGCATACAGTATCTTTTATGAGAGGCAGACGAAAATGAAAATAAGAAGCCTGGCCTTGAAGGCAGCAGCAGGAGAAGGTGTATTATAAAGAAAGATGTATTTACAGCCTTCAGGCTGTGCTAGGTTGGTAAAAGTTTATTTTCAGACATTTTCAAAGGAAGCCTTGTTTTTTATTTTGATCCGAATTAATCGTTGAATGTGATCTTTATCCAAATCTGCTTTAGTCTCCAATGGCAGGAGGACAGAGGACTCATGTCTGCTCACTCTTATCAGTTTGTCAAGAATTGTCTGCTGAAGAGCTTTTGAACTAGAATATAAAATTAACAGGACCATTATAATGAACCAAAATGCCAGGGAGGAGTCAACATGAGATGGGCACAACAGCTGCACATACACAACAGTGTAATGTGACTGGGGTCAATAGTGATGTGTATTGTTTTCTGGTTCTGCATCCTTGATTTAAATCAGGGCTTTTGTGTAAACTGTATGAAATGAGTCAGCAAATCCCACCCCAGAGACACTGAGGGTCAGACTTTTTAAGATGCTGAGAAACTATGTCTTGTTTAGACTCAAGGGGAACTGCGGATTTTGATCTTAAAATCGAACATTAATATATCCTCTGTAGCAGTCTCAGCAGTAAGGCTGATTGTTGAGTGGGTTGAGCTGTACTGAGCTGCCTTCCATGCCCTGGCACTGTTCTCTGCAGGTCAATGCTGTCGCAAGGGACAGGGAATTGCAGCATCATAACACGGCACGTATTAAGTCTTATTACTCATTCTGCTTCTGTGGATGCAGGACAGAGGTGGGAGAAAGGAGAGCTCACACTGTGGGGCTATGTGTGGAGGCAAGGACAAAAGAAGTGGACTAAAACAGCAAGAAGAAAATCCCTTTCATGGGCACTGGGTTGTGCAGTGCTGTTATTAGGGAAGGATGCTTGATACTGTCAGACAAGCTCTTTGAATAGCAGCAGTTTTTTATTTACCTTTTGCAGAATGTCATTGTGATTGTACTTGCTAGTTGGGTTGAGAAGCTGGACCCAGAGGAAGTTCAGGGGTAACTGCTGGTCTGTGAGCAAGCTATGACAGACTGAGATAGGCTCCAGCTGTAATTCAGTCACTGGTGTCCACACTGCATTGTCTTTTAAGCCCTGTCAGTGCACACAGCACCACACATACTGTGTATCAAAGAGCTTTTGCCTTGATGAGCTTGGAGACAAAACAAGGTGTGAGGAGAAGAACCAGAGAGGAGAAGTCCTGTGCATATGCTAATGTTTTCTGATGTTGCAATTTTGAGTCGGACTGTCACTTCCGCGTTTGTGTGTGCTGTTTGTTTGGGTGAGGATTAACTTATACTCTGAAGGTCACAGGTGATGTTCTCAGGATGTTAATGCATTTAATTGTTATGTTCTCCATAGGGTATTTTTCTTTAATCTCCCCTACGAATCCATCATGGAACGACTGTCTCAACGGAGGATTGATCCCGTCACTGGGGAAAGGTTAGCACTCATGTCTGATCTTTAACAATTTTCAAGACTGCTGGTGAGATGAAAGCACCAGATAGACTTCATAGAAATCTGAGGAAACTCAGGAATATTGTACTCTTGCTCAGGGATTCCTTAAAAGAAAAGTTAAAACTTTCATAGCTACTGAAGTACCAACCCACCTTCCTGCTGCAGCAAGCTCCTGTTCTCAGAAATTGGACATTCTAAAATCTTGGAACCTGAAATCTACAGTAGCAAGTAGCTCAGGTCTAACATTTTAATGGTAACTAAATTGGTTGATAAAACAATGCTGAGGGAAGATGTCTGAAACCTAGCCTAAATGCAGATGGTTTTCAGACATTCCCATGGGAATTTTGAAGGCTTCCCAGCTGGACGAAATGGAAAATTTGCTGCATTTTACTTCCCCCAGCTCCTGTGATGGTTCTGTCTGCTCTGAGATGTTAATATATTTCCTGCTCAGTAGAGCAAACTCATTTGAGTCACTGAGTCACTGTAAGGTTGTGTTCTCACATGTTCATCTCACTGGCAATCACGTCACCTTCTTTCACCAGTGACCTTCAGGTTCACTGTCTTCTCCTCCATTGTTTTTTGGGGAACAAGTAACAGTGAAATATCTTCCTAAATACCTGCTGGAATGGGTGTGGATTTGCAACTTCCACTTGGACTCTGGTTTTATGTTTCCTCACACTTAATTTTTAAACCACTATTTTACTTTCCTAATGGTTAAATACATCCTGTTGAATCAAAGACAAATACGGAACCCTCAAATTTTAAGGCCATAAATGCTGGATTTGTCCCAAAGTGATACATCATTATTCAGACATCTCACTCGAGGTGCAACATTAACTTGTGACAGCAACAGTGATTTGCTGTAACTGTTCTCTTTGTTTGAGTAATAAGTAAGAGATGCAGTTGTTCAGAAGAAATGAACAGTATGAAGCAAATCATTCACACATCTTTGCATTTCCTGTCATTAGGATTAGCCTGTTCAGTATCTGCTCCAGTTAACACGCTTCCTTCTTCCAAACTCTGGGTTTTATTCCTTCCAAATTCATCGTGAATTGAATTGTTTTAGATGCTGTATCTAATCCTCAGCATTATGTTAAACCTGCACAGTGCAGTGAAGAGGGTGGCCTTCAGCTGTGCTCTAAATAATTCAAATGTGGAATGAACTCTGTGTCCACATCATTGTACCAGCTGGAGCTGTAATGCAGTTCTGTGCAGAGACACAGAGACTCTGCTTCTCTCCTCAGTTTCGCATCTATCCCAACAGTTTCAGAAAATTTGGCTGTACAGGAAGAGGGATAAACCGGTTCTGTGTTAGGGCACAGGAGACATTTACTCAAAAGTAGAATTGTCGTGGCAGGAAATTTAAATACATGTTTGTAAAAGAGCTTTTAGTGATTGTCGGGAGCCTTTGGCAATGCAGAAGCATTGTCAGAATTCTTTTTGGTGTCAGCTGTCTGGGCAGGCTGAGCTGGATGGCAGCACTGCTACAGGACTGTGGTGATGAAAATCCTCTGTCTTGCTGAAGCCTGCTGACTAGTTGAGTGAACCTACAGCTGTGAATTCAGGGAAGCCAGATTCTGGCATTTTGGAAATTAGAAATAACCAAAACCTACCTCAGAGTGAATTAACCTCCTTTTATCTTCAACTACTATAAAAAGATGTTCACAATTATATTCTACCTGATATCTGCCCAGAAATAGAGACCAAGGTAGAGTATTTGTGTCTTCTTAGCTTCTTCCAGTGATCTTGAGCAGGAACAGTATTAACCCTACTTGTAGTGGCTTATCAAGAGGAAGCATACTGGTCTTTCAAACTCAAGCTTGTGGTGATTTGGAGAGTGTGTTGAGTGAGGGCTGTGCTTCCGCTACCCTTCTGCCATTTCCTGGAAGCACTCAGCCACATGTTTGCTAATAGGAAATACTTTCAAAATTTAATGTTGGTGATCCCAGCTCTGTTGCTGCACTTTTGAATCTTGGCAGGAAAGTCTCCAATGTCTAAGAGCCTTAAATACACCTGAAGTTATAGGTCCTTGAGCAGTGCCTGGACACAGGGCTATGTTTGGGCTCACTGATTCAATGCAGAGAAAGGACTCAAAGTTTGACAGCTTTTTCTTGACTGATGTCCAGCATCAGCAGAACAGTAAACCCCAGCAAAGATTTTTAACAGATGCTAAGGTTTAAAGTTAGGCTTTTTTAGATGTTTTTTTAAAGATAGGAATCAAAGTAACAAGTAAAACATGTTACCTTGGGATTGGATCTGGAACAGATCTGGAAATGCTTTGAACCTGGAGCATTGGGCACACAATAGGGATTTCTCCACGCCTAGTGTGAAGTGTATAAACAGTAGCAGCACTCTTTCTGGGTCACCACAAGAGAAACTCTTGGCTTTTGAGTATTCAGGATTCTTGAGAGCAG